GGTCACTTAAAGCCGACCTTACGCTGTTACAGGGAAATAGTTTTACGAAGACTAGACGCGCCCAAAAACATCCTCGACCAAACGTGCGCTACCGGTCGACACTGACTTCGCAATTGCAATAAGATGTTGCAGCAACCAAGATCAAGAGTAGAGAATGATTATTTCATAGGACAAAGTTCTGGAATTTACGATGAGCTTCGTTTCTACGAAAACCCGTCAGTCGAATTGGATTTCAGCAGTCTTGATGTGGCTGCGTTTACGAAAAACAGCAGTGTGTACAGAAATCAATCCCCTAAAACGCAAGCAAAGGAAGCAAGGAAAAGTCGTCCTGAACCCATGTCGTACATGGAGGAGACAGACCCATGCGGGAAGTTGTACCACTCGACATCGCGACGAATGAAACGTCTCGTGGCACTGAATTCAATTCTGTCTGTTCTGACCCTAATTTGTCTTGGGTTCACAAGTTTTCTTTGTTACAAACTGCTTATTGAGAACGACGGAGGGACCTGCGAAGGATGCCACAATGATACACCAGTGTCAGGTAAGTGTTTTTTGTACAAAGTACTTATGCTATTTATGCTGTTTATGCGAAGCTAGAGACTTCGTGATGTTTAGCGCCAAAGGACAAATTTCTGGATCAGTTGTTAATCTGCGATGACTAGCACCCCCGGTCAGGATGAGTCAATTTATGTTGGGAAAACTAACCTGCTTTAGGGTTCGAAAAAGAACACAACATCCTCACCGCGGCTTACACGGAAACCTGCGTTTTGTAGTAAAAATGGGGAACCAAATCATAGATTTAGTATTTTAACTGATTTGATATTCAGTCATGCTTCTGTTTATTAATATTTCGACTATTACTTAAGGTACTAAGCATTTACTCTTTAAAATACAGTGTAATCTCGATTTTTCTAGTCACTTTAAGAAACAGAAAACTGGCGCGAAAGATGGCGGGTAAATTTTTCCTAACTTTTTTACTAAGAGAGGCAAAGATTGCTTCGAATAATCGCGAGTTTCAAGAACTTTAGGGCTCCAGAAATCGGGATATATCTGTAACACAGCATGTGAAGGTAAGAAGCTACTGGAATTTCAATCAAAACCCCGCGAAATCCTAATCACGCATTTTTGTTATTGTTTACATAGGGGGAATCTTAGTGTCAGTACTTCACAAGTTGTGTGCATTTTTTTGGCATAAATTCAGATGTAGTTAGAGTTTAGTTATCGACGATATTCGGATCTCTTGCACGTTTAATAGTTCCCTATGTGACATGGAGTTCTGAATTAAATTTTTTATGTCCGGAAAACAGCCGTTGAATATCAAAAAATAATTTCTCAGATTTCGCTTGATCAGATCTTCGTTGCGTCTCGGACCACCAAAAGACTGGCAGACCATTTCTGAAACGTTAAACTAGATTTAAAATCTAAAAATAATGTGATCATCCGAATACCACGGCTGGTAGTTGCGTTTTATGATTACAAAAAGAAATCACCAAAAGTAGCCAAATCCCGTAATCATGCGAAAAGATTTCCGTTCCATACCAAAGATTCTTCATTTACCCATGTTTAGAAGGTGAAGGCGGAAGTCGACTGTGATTCGTGCAAGTAAATAAACTGATATGTTGACGGCTGTTGATCCGTGCGGGCATTTGTCTAGCCTGGCATAAGTCCAGGTAGCTCGTGTTTCTTTTGCTTCGTGTGAAAGACGTTTGCTTTGGACTCTCATGGGCAAACCGCGAGATGGCAGCTGACACTTCGCACTAACTTACACGCAAACCAGTCTTAACTGGAGTTCTTGATGATGAACACTGCTTCGATACTCACAGCTGAATTGTCCAGGTCTCTTTTATACTAATGAAGCAAAAAGAAAAGAAAACCGTTGATTCTGTAAATGCTTCGAAGGATTGTGGCCTCATACGTAAGGGTTTACGACACATTTCCTGTCTCAGGTCTTCAGTTGAAAGTCTGCGATGATGTACACGAGAGTTACTCATTTGTAGGGCTTATTCGCTTGTATGCAAGTTTACTTAATGTATCCTGTTTTAACCACTAATATTTATCAAAAATTTTACAGTGATAAATGCAAGCGACAAAGGGGCATGCATATGAGATTACTGGTATCGATAGCTTGTCTCAAATTTTTGAAGAGTTTTGAACGTTCAACACAATAATGGTAGGAAGATTATACAGTATTCCACAGAAAATAGACTTCTAGAGCCTTTTGGTCTGACTTGTCAAAGATCTTTAAAGAGAACTAGCTGAAACAACATAATTTACTCTATCTCCTTTCATTGGGCTTTTTGTCTTCAAAACGGGAAAGAGAGAGGGAAACAGAAGTGGCCACAATCGTCTGTCGACAAGATTAAGTGCGATTTTCCGCTTCAGTCACGGAGGTAGAATAGCGTGCTTTGGTCCTAGAAAGCTAAGGGTACGAATTTGAAGTTGAAGAACATGGTTACCAAAATTTAGAATAAGTACAAGTGTTCCCGGCTGCCTTTGGGAATCATTCATTCGAATGACCAAGATTCAACCAATAATAGAGGTTCTCTGTTTCTGAGCCATTCCTGAAAGAGGCTCTTTCCCTGGAATAGAGGAAATGGAAATATGAGACGCAAGGGATTAAAATCTTAAGTTTTTAAAGACATACGCCACTACGTCACTGCGTTTGATGCGTTCTTTTTAAGTTGTGTTTATTATCCTACTTAGGATTTCCAACAGTGATGCCCAGAGTCGCGTGGAAAAATCTCTCAGAAAATGTACAAACCCTCAAGGACAACGTTTCATCCCTGGAGGAGATCAGTGTTATTTTAAGCACGGTATGTAAATAGCGCGAGTAATCGTGCAAAGGCTTAGCGGAAACTTCAATTGTGTTTTGTTTAGTTTTTTCGTTACGTACTACCGGTTCTAGATAAGGGAAAAAGTGTTCCAGTCTATGGGGGGGAGGGGGAGTGGG